CATGAATATACTTGCCGAGTGAAATGAAATTTGAACAACAGTAATGGAACTTTTAGGCAGTCACTAATTTTGACTAAAACTAATTTGCATATCACCAATGCAATAATGTTTTTGGTATTTTCACGGTTAATATCCAAATGAACATGGTATTGGCGATCCGCTCCACTACCATTGCCCTTAAAATCACTTTTGTGTGTCTGTGTGTGATTTCCAGTGTTTTCACGTATAAATTCTTCTGTGTTTTTTTGGCTTGGCCAATTTCGCTCAAACTTAGCAGGTAGGTCACACCTTCACCCTAGTTATCAGGAAAAATCTGAAAAAAATCGCCCACCGTTTCCGTAGCAACAACTGAAAAACCTGATTTTTGAATAGCTTTGTGCTAAATGTATCTTCTGTTACAAATTTAGAATACAACACCTCAGACATAGATCATTCTACTCAGCTTGAGTGTGGGCACAAAGTTACTATTTGTAAAATCTGAAAACAAATTCTGACCACTGTTTCCATGGAAACAGCCAAAAACTGATTTTTTTAATATCTTCACGCCAAATGTATCACACCCTACATTTCTATGATTAACTTTGAACTTTGAAAGAAATGTAAATGCTGTCTCAAATATAGAAAATACTATCGCAAACCAGTTGCAAATAATAAATTTAATGGCAGAATACATCCTAGCAATAAAATAAAGTGACTTCTAAAGACTGAATGTTTATTTGCGAACTTTGTATACGATGCCCGGTTTTAGTTATGAACCGACGTTAGCTTCACGTTCATGTCCTACATTGGCAACAGCCGATAACATATTGCTTGTTTTTTTAGCGGAGCGGATCACCAACCAACCTACCGGATTGTTTTCATTGGCAACTGAACTACTTTTATTTTGTAAACACATTTTCGTCTGCTAATTTTATCCAGTTCAAATCGTTCAGCAACATTTTTGGCATATCAGGTGTACATCACACGGAATACTACGATTGAGAGAATTTGATGTATGTTGACTGAGTTTTATAAACCCTGAAGGGCTCTTGGGAGATCCATCCACAGTAAAATTAGCGATTACCATTTAGGCGAGACCATCAACATCAAAGTATCAGAAAGTTTTTGCTGGCGACGTTACCCAGTTCCAAATAAAGATTACCAACACTAAATGAGCAACATTTTAACCGGTAATCAAGATTCATTTAATCCACAGATAACAAGCAACATCACAAACGAAGTTGTAGCGTGCAGCTCAGCGACGACCTCTGTCGACACAACTCATCCCGTTAGTGGAGTACCGCTGTAGCATGGCATGTTTGCCTTCACTATTGTATTCAAACGAATCATGTGGTGTGGCGTTCTCCGTCAAACCCGGGATTCGATCAATAGGCGAGTTTCAATAAAAAAAAACATCGCAAATCATGCAAGTTCAACATTTTCAAACCAGTATACTAAAACAGAAATGCTCAGCGGTGCAAAAGAAGGATAGATATTACATTTCACTATACACATCTTTGTTGATACTATCTCTCACATATTCTACTCCCAATTACTCCTGCGGAAAATGGACTAGTCTATTTTCATGTTGACATTCTGAGTAAAATCATTGGCTGTTTCGCCGGTCTAGAAAATGTGTTTAATTTGCTTTCATTCAAGCAACAATAGAGATATCCCAGTGGGAGTGAAATATTCGACTCTGCCATTAAAAAATAGGGGTGTTTTCATCAAAAAACGAATAACTCTGGAATGCAAACAACACACTGAATTTCGGAACAAATCGTGCATTATTTACAGCAGCAGAATATCACATAAACATGAAAACACTTTATATTGTATTACAGCCTGAACCCTCTCTATTGCAATTCAAGGAATTGATCCCATATGTGCATCCATTTTCCACCTTGGTATCACCCACCCCTGAAAACAAACTCTTAATACCACGCTGAAGCGTTTAATAATAAAGTATGTAATCTGAAATCGAGATTCTCTGTTATGGCTTGCTACGGCATGCTTGGTTCTGTATAAAATGGCCAGAGAGGGCGACATATACAACACATACAAATTAGCAAGCACGTGTTTAAATGTGGAAAGCGATAAGGTTGCTAAATCACTAGATGTATTCAGATAAATCGTGTTGCTATAAACATTTTTTTTTCTAAATAGTGTTCATTTTACCGACATCGATCCATAGGTAAGCACATTACTTTATTACACGGACTGACTAATCGTTATATTTTACTCACTTCAGGTGAATCTGCAAAATTCGCGAAAAGTGTTTTTTAAATGAGATATCTCACCTAAACCATGAAGGTAATGTGAAGTACAGTAGATATCATTCAGTCTCATTTCACAGTGTGGGGGAATGGGAGACGCTCTTCAAATTATCACGCCGGTTTATTACAATGCGCTGTGCTCTAAATGTAACATCCCCTAAATTATAGGAAATTAATGTATTTTACTAAGCTAAACACTTCGCTGGACTTATGTTGATTGTCAAATTTTTAAATTCATGCAAATTTAATTTGCTAAGCACAGTACGGCACGGATTATTTACGGATCTCTAAACTTTAATTAAAGTTTTGATTTATATTTCCTCTTTTTTTCTAATGTAAACACACAATAAGCTTGGAAGTGATATAAAAAACACTAGTCTGTTATAGTTCAAGGTGTGTGTTATCTATAGGTGTGCACTAGTCGTGGGGTATGTCCACTCAGCTCTGTTGACAATACGATTATATCTTCTAAATTTTATGCGTTTACACTACTTATTTACATAGGGGTATAGTTCACACCTTGTAGATATAAAGCGTTGTGTAATATTTTAGGTAATATGTCAATAAGTTTATTTAATTAAATGCCTGACTGTGGTTATGTTGAAACCTCTCAGTGTGAATGCCTTTTTTATGGTGTACCTAGTAATTAGCATTGTACTAATTTTCGATGTAGCCGAAGAAAATTGAAAATTTTTGAAAATAACGTTACCAAAGTTTAAATCTAAATGATACAGAAGGAAATTGAGAATGTCAGAAATTAGCAATTCCAATATTAGTATCTACTTCATGGAAAAATGTATGTAATTTGAAAACATGATGAGCTCATTTTTCATTGAGATACATGCTTAGAGAAGTCCAGTGTAGGTAGTGAGCCCATCTCTCACTGAGATACATGCTTAGTGAAGTACAGTGCAGGCGGTGAGCCAATTCCTTACTGAAATACATGCTTACTGAAATACAGTGTAGGCGGTGAGTCCATCTCTCACTGCGACACATGCTTACTGAAATGCAGTGCAGGCGGTGAATGACATACTTACATGCTTAGTGAAGTCCAGTGCAGGTAGTGAGCCCATCCCTCACTGGCATACATACTTACTGAAGTACAATGAAGGCGGTGAGCCAATTCTACATTAAAATACATGCTTACTGAAAAACAGTGTAGGCGATGAGTCCATCTCTCAATGATATACATGCTTACTGAAAGGCAGTGTAGGCGGTCATTCCATCCCTCACTGAGATACATGCATACTGAAGTAAATTGTAGGCGGTGAGCCCATCTCTCACTGAGATACATGCTTACTGAAATGCAGTGTAGGCGGTGGGCACATTCCTCACGGAGATACATGCTTACTGAAGTACAGTGTAGGCGGAGAGCCCATTTTCTCTGAGATACATGCTTAGTGGAATTCAGTGTAAACAGTGAGCCTCCCCTCACTGAGATACATGCTTACTGAAGTACAGTGCATGCCGTCAGCCAATTTCTCACTGAAATACATGCTTACTGAAATACAGTGTACGTGGTTAGTTAATTTTTCACTGACATACATACATGCTTAGTGAAGTCCAGTGTAGGTAGTGAGCCCATTCCTGACTGGCATACATGCTTACCGAAGTACAATGAAGGCGGTGAGCCAATTCTTCATTGAAATACATGCTTACTGAAAAACACTGTAGGCGATGAGTCCTCTCTCACTGAGATACATGCTTACTGAAAGGCAGTGTAGGCGGTCAGTCCATCCCTCACTGAGATACATGCTTACTGAAGTAAAGCTTAGGCAGTGAGTCCATCTCTCACTGAGATACATGCTTACTGAAGTAAATTGTAGGCGGAGAGTCCATCTCTCACTGAGATACATGCTTACTGAAGTAAAGTGCAGGCGGTGAGCCCATCCCTCACTGAGATACATGCTTACTGAAGTAAAGTTTAGGCGGTGAGTCCATCTCTCACTGAGGTACATGCTTACTGAAGTAAATTGTAGGCGGGGAGTCCATCTCTCACTGAGATACATGCTTACTGAAAAGCAGTGTGGGCGGGGAGCCCATCTCTCACTTAGATACATGCTTACTAAAGTACAGTGTAGGCGGTGAGCCCATCCCTCACTGAGATACATGCTTAAACTGAAGTACAGTGTAGGCGGTGAGCCCATCCCTCACTGAGATACATGCTTACTGAAGTACACACTGCGTTGTTGTGACTGCATTGTTATGGTGGCAAAATTATTCTTTTCTCTGAGGCTTTATTGACAACTCGATGAAGAAATGAGATAATTGTAGATCAGCTCAACGTGTCTTTTTCTGTTTGTTGGCTCTACAAAACCCCATTATTCAAGTGTCCATGTGTGGCTGGTTGAGTGCCAACATTGGTGATGATATGAATCTTTCAATGTCACGATTTGGGGAAATCCCGACACGTCCCCTACTGTGTTTCCTTCTGACGTTGTATTGTCACTGTGACAAACCGCTGTGATAAGAACGGATCGATCGAACGAACTGATTCATTCGAATATACTAAGTACATTATAAATATAAACTTGATGAATCATATGCGTAATTTACCACACCTTACATAAACATAAAATAATTATAATAGAGTTCCCCTATGTGAGTCAGTATTTTCAGTATTAGTTATTATGAATGCAACAAGTAAGCTAATACCATGGCGTACTATTACTTCCTTTACGAATATCATATTTATCGCAAACAACATTTTTTTAATTGATTTGTTTTATTTCTAGTCATAAGGAGATGGGTAACGTGGTCTCATGTACGGTGGAAGGAGGTATAGACCTGAGTGCTATACGTCAACAACAAATAACTCAGTCAACACTGCCCGATAAATGGATTGAATGTCCAGCGTGTTTTCGTGCATTCGATTTTCCGAAGATTCTGCCTTGTTATCACTCTGTGTGCCTCCGTTGCTTACAGATGATACAGGGAAAATTCAACTGTCCGTTATGTAAAACTCAACACGAAGTTCCTTCTGGTGGTTTGGAACTTTTGCCAGATAATCGTCTTCTGAATGATTTAATTGAACATTCATCGGCTGAAAAACTGTTGGAATCGTCACGGGAATGCGGCGTGTGCTCTGGCAACACAGCACCTAAATCGGGCAGGTCACATCGCGGTAAAAAACCAAACAAGTTTTGCACAATTTGTCGTAGAGCGCTCTGCAGTGACTGTGAAGATGTACATAAAAAAATACCGATAACCAAGGCACATATAACGATGCCTATAGTAGAGTATCGTAGAACCATCCTTAAAGAATCTCCTCTCATCAAGTCGAATTATATTACGTGTCACCGCCATCCTAATGAAATTCTAAAGCTGTACTGCAGAGATTGTGATTATCCAATATGCGATACTTGTGTAGCTAAGGATCACACCGATCACACTCGTGAAAAGATTGGCGACGCAAGGGCCAGAAAAGAAGCTGAACTTGACTTGAAAATAAAAAGAGCAACTGATTTAAAAACGAATTTAGATGGAATTATGAAACATTTGAATGAAGAAAGTACATCTCTTGAGCTGAAGGTGGAAGAGGTAGCGAAACAAATAAAAACCCGTTCTCATGTTCTCGTGACCGATTGTAGTCAAGTCATTGAAAAAATGAAAAAAGATCAATCTACCCTATTTCAAGAAATATCTTCGATGTTCAAAAATAGAAGTGATGCTTCCACAGAGAGTCAGAAGACGCTGTGTGATAGCATAGATAAACTAACAAAGTGCATCAATGCTGCGGAAAGGTTGCAGCAGGATGGCCAAGGTGCTGGATTCTTGTATATGGTTAAGCAAATAATACAGGAAATTAAGGAAACAATGGAGAATTATAATTTCTCAACTGGCATTAAGGATTATAGATTCATTCCCAATCAAACGGATTTATCCCAAAACATATCAGCGGACAACCTGGGCAGACTTGTCATTTATTAGGTCATTTCTCACATTTGTTGCAGCATTCAATTATGGCTGCAGTGAGTGTGCATTGGGACAGCCATTTCTAAATTGTGCATTAAGTTTATAATAGGAAAGTCGTGACTAGATTAAGTACTATTCACATATTCTCATTTTACAAACAGCGACCAAAATACCAATTTATGTTGTTTTGCTTACAATAGGATATGTCCATTGAAAGAATAATTACATATGATTAGTAATGCATTATTTATATATAATTTTGGTTTGGATCAATATGTGCCGTATATATGACTAACTCGACTGCTTGTGACAGAATATATTATATTTTATGTTAGAGGAAATGTTATTATTCGTGATTTTAAGTTTGCATCATTGCCTGTTAAGTGTAATTTGTTCTCTTTTTGTTTGTGATGTTTCATATTGTTCTTATTTATGGTGTAATTACACCATTCAGTCTTATCATAATTTACGTAGAGCTCACTCATAGGTTTTTCGAATAATGTCCGGTTTTAAACACTCTTATGTTCAAAGCAATAGTTTGATGTTTGTTGGTTTATCTCTTTTAACGTTTGACGAAATTGTTAGTGTTTTAGTTTTCTTTCACGTTTGCACTTTTCTGACAACCCACTTGTTACAGCTGTATTATCTATTTCTATTTTATTTTATAGTGTTTTATGGGAACTGTGGGGCAAGAGAATTTTTTGATGTGCACTTTTTTAACTTCCATGGATTATTCTTTTTTAATCTGAAATAAACCTCAATAATAATAATAATACTATGACGTGAACCAGGTTGTTATTTTCACAGTGAATAGATCAATAGTACCGCCTCGGCCGATTTTTTTTTGCATTATTTAGAATGTACTATGCTCATGCAAATGACATTAATGTTTACACGTCATAGTAACCATCACTATAACCTGTCTCGTTAATGGAATATCCCGTTGTTATTTACTGGTATTAACATTTTATCACATCTGAAACTACTAATGGCATCGAACCAATGTGTAAACTGCCGGAACTGTTTCTGCGCATGTCACGTTACAGTATGTGATCGGGACACGTCGACGACTAATTTGCGGGCGTTCTTGGAGTTTGGACAGAATCTGAACAAGCACACCGATCCCATCGATCTATAATTAAGCGTCAAACTATCTGGGAGGACACCGACCGACAACACCCACTTTAGTGTACCCTTTGTAAGCCTTGAAGTTAATACAGGAATATTTAATCACTCTGTCATGATTATGTTTTCATGGGTTTAGATATCGGTTCGTGTTTTGGCAATTGCGATGAAACTCACTAATTAGGACTTGATGATTGGTTTCCGGTTAAAAGGCTGGGCGAGGTCTTTCAGCGCTTGCTCGTAACCTGTTATCATTTGGGCTTATACAAGTACTGGACGGAAATAGGATCAGTGATTGAAACTAATTAAAGATATAAACTTTGCCAACGGACTGTTGTTTTACCACACATGATAACCCTGGCACCCCACGAGCCGTTTATTCGGTGTTATTTGCTTACTTTACTTCGTATGTCGACAGCAACTATGAGTTTAATTTTTTTTTTATATGAGTAGTCTTCCAATATAGTAAACAATTAACCAAGTATATAATGACGTGTTTGGCTACATGAGTGAAATGTGTGGAGGCTACGCCTCAAGATCTTAAATTCCCGTGTAGTAGATTTGAAAAGGGAATAAAGTCAGTTCTCCACGAGACAGCGGAGACTGGGGGTTGACACGATACCATCTGTGCGTGTCTTTCTTTGGTTGAAAGGTCTGCGAAAGTAACGATCCCGGATACCTGATGTGACGTTTAATAACACGAGAATTAAACCGTTCTAACCCTATGGTGTTGATATTACGAACGCCCCAAGCGTTTGCTACGTCATGACGCGACGCATTAATATAACGTTTTTTTTTTCTTATCTTTTTGGTTAACAAGCCAAATACAAAGGTCAACTAAGTGGACTTACTTCTGTTGGAAAACATGTACACCCTTTACAACCAAACTGTTGCTTAAAAATATTCACGTTTGCAGCTGTTACCCATAATTAGGCTACTAGTCGTTATGATAAATGTCACCATGTTAAATGTCATGCAAATGAACCTGGTTTAACGACTCCAGTGATGTAGCCATATCAACATATAAGAGGTTGTTGTGGGAGGGAAACTGACAACCGTGCGCGTCAACATGAGCTTAACGTTTCTTCGCATGTTTGTGATATTCGCTGTGTATAATTTTATTCTCACGTGTTACATATTTAGTGAACGTTATATGGTTGTACATAGTGTATATCGCAGTGACAGTGGCACGGATCATACTGTCCACAGTTGCCCGAAGTTGTATACCGCATTACTAGAAAAATTGCGCTCAAACTACACCGGCTCGGACATTCGTTTAGATATCGGAAATAACAATTCGTTGTTCGTCAAATACCTATCTAATGTTTATCCTCTCACCTCATCCGGAAGTTATCATCTACGCGGTGCTAGGGGGGATGATACGTATAACGACACTCATATTCCAACAAAGGACATTATCTCTGAAAACATAATTACCATGAAAACTCTCAGTGGCAGGAACAAGACAAGAAGTCACAACAAGGAGTCAGAAGACAGCACAAATGTTCTTGCAGATGTCACTGTGGTACCGCCTTCAAAAGAAGGCTTTGTACAGCATACATTACCACAATCATCTAACGTTACAAATTCAGTGTCAGTACAGTACATTATTAGAAACGATAAATTGTGTTCAAATGCCGATGTGTATCTTCTGATACTTGTGCTTTCTGCGCCTAAAAACCGTCTGCAAAGAAAGGCCATCAGAAATACTTGGGGACGAGGTGCAGACGGAAGTGACGTAACAGTGCGTTTAGCATTTCTTTTCGGGACCACCATGGAAGTTAAAGAGATGCAAACGCTGCGCAGTGAATCTGAAAAATTTGGTGATATTGTTCAGGGGGATTTCGAAGATTCGTATGCTAATTTGACTTTGAAAACGATTTTTGGACTGCAGTGGACAGTGGAAAACTGCGCCAACGCAGCATATATTCTCAAAGCGGACGACGATATATATGTTATAATGGATAACTTACTTAGGTGGCTGAAGTATTTACGACCAATCAGAAGACGGCTATTATACACGGGGTATTTGTACGGACACACGCGGGTCGATAGAAATAAGAAGACAAAATGGTATGTTCCAGAAAAAGACTATCCCGAAATGTTCTATCCTCCCTATATTTCAGGCGGGGCTTATCTATTGTCAAACGAAGTAGTCCGTGAATTCTACAGGGAGACATCAATGGTGAGACCGTTCATATTTGAGGATGTGTATTTAGGTATATTGGCTAAAAGACTTCATATATATGCAGTGCACAACTCCCTGTTTCACACCACCCATGCTGGATATTCCAAACCAAATTGTCAAAAGTCTAAAGCTATAGCAGTTCATGGTTTTAAATCGCTGGAAATGTACAAGTTTTATAATGAACTACAGAAAAATAAATATGAAAACTGTACAATTCAGGACAGTTGATCTACAAATGTCAACATCACTGTTACATACCGATGACTGTTACAGCAATGTCTAGTGATACTTTAATCCCATTTATCATGGCAGTCCAGTGTAATAAAGAAGCGTAATTTGATATTTACATTATATGACAAATTCAGTCTGATTGGTCATGCAGCCAGATTTATATTTTTTGAAATCATTACCAGCAATTTTAGAATACCTTCATGTTTCAAAGCACTGTTGCCAGTCAACATGTGTACGTATAGATGTTATAACGCCACATATAATTGAGGCATTTTTTTTGAATTTCCAAATGTCAACTTGTCCGCGCACAGTATGTTTTCTTCACCGACGTTTAGTGGCCATTTCTAAGTCAATTACGATCACTGTGTTATTTGTTTGCTTTTAACAGGTGCGAAAAAAAAATATGAATAAAACAGAATATCAAATCCCAGAACCTTCAATAACAGACTTATTAAACTTTTTTATTAATTGTTAATTGTTCCTGATGTGTGAACGTAACGGTTCTGGTTAAATATTAAAATAACTAAATATTAGTAATAAACCTTACTGCTCTCGTTTAATGAATCTGATTCATGAGATATCTTTTATTAACACTGCAATGTTTCATATGGTTCGTGTTTTTCTTCATAATAAACGTACAATAATATTCACACTTGTATGATATTTGCCAGATCGGCAATGTAACGTGTGATCATGTAGTCCATGCTTGTGTTATATCTATATTTTTTGAATGTAATTTTGATGTGTTTGTTTGTTTATGCACTGTGCGCTGTGTTGTGCGCGTTGGATATATGATATGATATATATTATTATTATACATCTGTCACCGTAACGCCATAAGTTACAGCGTGCCGTAATTTTGCGGTATTTTACGGGGTAATTTCATCCTACCATATTAGGAAATGCGAATTCCAAATATGGAATGATTACGCGCGTAAGCGTCCTCCAATAATAAAAACAAACATGGCTGTTCGCTGATTCTGTTCTAACTTTTTTGGATTTCGGCATTCCCATGATGTATCCTT